CCCTATCCCCTGGTCTGCCTTGACCTCCCAGTACTATATTTGGACCATTTAGTTCTATTGTTTTTATATGAAACACCTATTTGTATCCATCTTAAAGATGGATGCTTTACATTTTTTAGACGGCATATGTAGAAATGTGGTCCAGCCCGCATAAAATGATTTTCCTTTTCACATTGCTCCTTTCTCTCCAATATCTACCTTAATGAAACATTGGACCATGTAACCTTCGTAGGTTCAGTTGATTAACTATAACCCTGGATTTTTTTATTGTCCTATTGATTTCGAAATCTATTGTAGCAAAAATAAGATTTCTATAAGGCTGGCAAAGGTCTGGGTTTGGCTACGTAGCCCATTGCCAATCTTAATTTAGATATGATTAGCAAACCATGACAATGTTAATCACAATTTAAAAAAGTGCCAATCTAGATCCAAAATCAACTTGTACGAACCGGTTCCCACGAAAAATCAAGAACATGTGATTCCCCCCTCATATAGCTGATTCAGACCCGTTCTCTAAAGAACCAGCTAGTTTTGACAAACCAGTTCCTGTAAAAAATCGAGAATATGCAGGTTTCTCCCTAATGCAATTGTTTAAATAACTGGCTGGTTTTGTCAATGAACTGACCGATTCTGTCAATGAACCTGGATGAATTGCTTACCGCTTAAAAAGAAAGAAAAAGTTTATATAGGGCTGAGGCTCTAAACAATCAAGTCAGAGTCCACCTCAAAATTTTCATTAGAAGAAGTTGCTTTGATGCCCAAATATCCTCAAATTGATCATCTCGACATCAAGATGTATGGATATGAGAAAAAAAATGGATTTCAAGTTTTGAAACTAGTGGATTGTAATGCATTTTTTACCGTCAATTTTCAAGTTTTCATTGATCTGCTCAATCTACATAATTTTTTAAGCTTTAAATTTTATAATTAAATATAAAAATATTTTACAAGGCCATCACAAGAATTCCTATTATTGAAACCACATTTCTCGATATTATTTAAAGGTGGGCTTTACTTTTATCGTTAAAAGCTTCAACTCTATACAAATTGTACCCAAAAAAGTAATTTTTGTTTTAAAAGGATGGAATGGGCCACCCTTAGCTTGAAAGTTGATGAGCCTAGGGCCCACCCATCTACGTGGAACTTGAAAAAACACACAAGGCTGATTGCTTGCGTTGTACTACACTTTATAGGCCTCACCTCGTAGCAGTACAATGGTAAGTCCCCCTGTGGGACTATTTTTACATCTCACCTTATTAAACGTGACCTTTTAAGACACCCCAATGTTACTGGGTACAGTAATATTGTGAACAGATGAGAGAGGGTATATAGAGTTTATAGTGAAAAAAAAAAAATATATATATATATATATATAGCACTTCTTAAGTTTGCACCTATCACCCAATGTCATTTTTACGGACTTTCATCATCGTGCAGCAAATAAAAGGGATTGTATACTATGATACCATTTACTTTAGTACATGATCGTCACAATTATTTTAAACCATTGGATGTGAAATCCAATAGATTGAAGTATCTGACAAATTTTGAAAAATTTTATTTTGGATTTTGTGCTCAATTAATGATATCTTCCCAACCATCCAATTCTACATCTAATGGCTAATAATAATTGTGCCCTCCTTGTATCAAAAGTAAATAGCCTCATTATATACATTTCCGAAACAATATTTAATAACTACTTATAAATTCTCCAAATAGGTAGAACTTAAAGTAAAACGATGGACCAAATCCTTCCTCAAAGAGAAAAGATAGTTATACATGTCAAGTAACTTTTTTAAAATACTCGTTTTTTAAGGTGAAGGTTATTTGAAAATTACAATCAAACAAAGCGATGGGTTAAAATGCTTATTACATGCAATTTAGGAGCATCCTCTACGTAAAGAAATTTAAGCATTAGGGCCCACATACTCTATTCAAAATACAAAAACGAAAATTTGAGTTTTTGGATCTGGCCCGTTTTTTAAAATGTTTTGTATTTCAATAGGATAAAATATTTAAGCATTTTGGGCATTTATAAAACATCTTGTAATTGGGAATTTGTAATCGGAAAAAAACCATGATGACAAAGATGGTAAAACATTTTGTATTTTCAGTTTTAACACACCGTTTTATACCTAGTTTTACGTGTTTTTCCTCTTTTTGTTTTACATTTATTTTTCTGTTCTTTTCCACAATCACTTCTCCACTTTCAATAAGATCAATTTTGAAAGAGAGAGGCACTCATAAAAATCACAATTAATGTCACAAAATTAAATAAAGGAAAAAGTTTCTATAAAGATGCCTCTCAAAAATCCATCAAAAAATGTAGTTTTAATGTTGAAAAATCATTTGATTGATCATTTCGACATCGAGATGTATGACCATAAAAAATAAAAAGATTTTAAATCTAAAAAATAATACATCTTACAACATATTATCTACACAATCCATTTTCAAGATTTTCATATGTTTATAGATCTACTTGATTTTAACCGTTTTTAAAATTTAAAAATTTATAATTAGATATAAAAATAGATTTTAAGACAATCATAAAAACATTTTACATCAAAATTATACACCATGATAAAATTTGAAGGTGCACCTTACCTCTACCCCTACAGATGCATCCGTATGCAAACTCCACCCTTCAATAAAAATACAAAAAATTAGTACTAACAATCACATACTTTATCCCTCGTTTCTTCTCTAAAAATCACAAAAATGAGAATGATTAATATTGTTTCAAAATTCGTATAAAAAATTAATTATCAAAAATATCGATAGCCACTCAAACAATAAACGACACCTCAATTTTCACGTATTTTTTGCAAAATAATGAAAGTACATGATGCACTATCCATTTTATTTTTTATAACTCAATGTTTTTAAGTGCTCTTTGCACACATCCAGCCAATTCTCTGATCCAGACTGCCAATCCAACCCGATTTTTCATATGAAAGATCCATTTTTTAAAGACCTTGATATTAATGAAAGGGAAGTCCCAGGAATCAGGTGCCAACTTGGGCACTTAAATATCTGAGTACGCTCGCCTAGAAGAGGCGAGCCATTTCCAAGTGAGTTGGCCTAAAATGGTGAAAAAAAAAACATATAAGTATCAGATCCTGAGGTAAACCGCCTGAATCAAGAAAACTCAGCCCATTCCCTAAAGTCAGGTCCTGAAGTGAACCGCCCAATTCTCAACAACTAGGGCAATTCACTGATTGAATACGATCCGGAACCAGAGACATCCAGCTCCAAACCGAAGCCAGCAAATGACCATCTTAACCCCAAGTTGGAAACTCTCTGGATTTCTCGGGTTTCTTCATGAGAGATGGATGGCAGTACCAATCTCCCTTCCGTCCCGTCCCCTCCCCTCCCCTCCCCTCACCCGAGCTTGGCACATGCAATTACACTAAATTCTGCCCCACTCAGCTCGATACACGTAAGTACACATGATCACCATGATATATACCATTTAGCCTGCCATGGTACTGTCTCTATTCCCACAAAAGAATTTGTTGCCTCCCAAAAGTCACAGCTAGATAGATAAAAGCATGTACAATCAAACAAGAACAGCAAATGCACAAGAGAAAATATTCATCCGAATGGACAATCAAATCACACTCCATATCTTCCATACACGATTGAAAAACTAAAATTGGAGACAACGTTGGACCATATAATGTAGAATACTAAAGATCCTGCTTAAAAAGCTTAAAAATAGAAAGAAACCAATCCTTAAAACACACACACCACTCCAAACTCCCAAACTCCAATCAAAATAAGCTATATCAAAACATACCTCACATGTAGAAAAGAAAGAAAAAAACTACTCAGAGGGGGTGGGGGGCGGGGGGACTACTGATAGTACATGAGCTGCTGAGCAGCAGCGACGTTTTGGAAGCCACCATCGTAGATGGCCTGGCTGGCCCCGGCAGTCATGGGGGCACTAGTAGGCTTCAAGGGGTGTTGGGGGGGTATCATATTCATACCCATCTTGTTCAGGGCCAAGTGACGCTCATATGCCAACAGATCAGATGGCGACAGCATCGGGAGTGGAGCTGCGGGGGGCGGGAGAGGTGTCGAGCTTGCACCAGGAGGCGTCGGCTTGTTACCCCATGAACACTGCATAACCCATGGAATCATTTTCATGATTATGATGATGATGATGATGATTTTTTTTTTTTAACGCCTGATGCCCCTAATACTCTCATGCAACAGGTTTTTGGGCAAAGGTAAGACGACAGAAAAGCAAATTTTTTAAACCTCCTCAGAGGAAGATCAGAATTGGGAGTAAAATTTTAATGGAATTAACCTTTCTTTCTGTAAGAGCTTACACAGGTTAACCAGCCACGAAATAGTTAACCTTGTTCACTTGTTGTAAGAATCTTATTTTTTTCTACAATTACAAAATCTAAGACATGGAAACTTTGATGGATGGGGAATTCTCAAACAAGAGAGAGAGAGAGAGTATAGGGGACTACCTTGATAGGCTTTCCACAAAGGATCCTTCCATTGCCAATCTGAATTGCTAATGCCGCTTCCGAATGGTTACTGTACCTCACAAATCCAAACCCTTTGTCTCTCTGGACTCGCACTTCCTCAATCACCCCAGCACCAAGCGCATGGAATTGACGATGGAGCTCAAGCTGAGAAACCTGCTAATACCAAGTAATGATTAGACATATCACCCCAAATTATGTAAAAGCTTACAAAAAGGTAAGCTGCATTTGGAAAGAGTGAGGTTTTGGGGCATTACCCAACACACCCGTTTATTTGCGTCTGCCTTCCAAAAATCCATCTTAGAGATGGATTTTGGATCCAAAGGGGTTCGTAATCTCGACTATGGCAATCATGAATATGGAAAAAAAAATAGATTTTTAAATATTACAATAGTATTCTTTTAATTTATTTTTTGCACCATTGATTTAATTCTTCACAGATCGTCAATCTGCTCCACATTTGGAGCCACAAAAAGATGGATCTATGTCGGAAATGCATTTTCAGTTATTTAAAATCTGTTTTACATCTTAAATCCAAGAAAAACCTAGGTAGACTCATGAGTTTGAGGATTCACAGAATAGAGGATTCACGGAAGACTTTTCCTTTGAAAAATAAAAAACCTAGAACTTCTTTGAAGTAATCAAATTGCTCGTGTATGTGCATGCAGAATTGCTCTCCGCAAACACATCTCCGCTATTCCCACTAAAAACATGGGTGGGAATGTCACAAGCATGGATGGCATGCTTTGAAAATGGGAAAATTTCATATGGCCCCCGATTTCCATTCCAATTTCGTAATAGAATGTCCTAGGTTTTTTACAGGAAACAAAGTGGCAAGGGGGAAAAAACTAAGGAAATAAGATGGATATGAACTTTAATATATAGGAAAGGATAATGATAAAAATGGTGTTGGCATAATAGTAGACAAAGATTAAACAATGAAGTAGTTAATGTCAAAAAAGTAGGTGATAGGCTCCTATAAATTAAACTTGCATTACAAGAAGAGATAATTAACTAATTAGGGTTTATATACCACAAATAGTTGGGAAAAGGCTCTTAAGATGATAAGGACTTGTGCACCACAAGTAGGATCATATAAAAGCAAGGTAGACTTTTTTCCTAGTTAATAAAGTGGATCGACCATCATATAAGGACTGTAAGGTTATCCCAAGAGAGAGTTTGACTACGCAACATAAGCTCGTGGTTATGGATATTTGCACAAAGAGATAGAAGAAAAGGGATAAAAAGGGGTGAAAATAATAGGTGTCCAAAAACTAGGAAGTGGAATTTAAAAAATGAGAAAATAGACTTATTTAGGCATATGCTAGTTAAAGAAGAAAAATAGAACTACAAACAATGTTATGTGGAATGAGATGGTTGACTGTATACAGCAAGTCGCACAAGAAGTTTTAGGAGAAACTAGAGGGAAAAAAAATCTCAATAAGGAAACTTGGTGATGGAGTGATGAAGTTCAAAAGGCCACTAGCTAAAAATATATCATGTTATAAACTTGGCAATATAATAGAAATGATCAAAGCGTAGAACAATGTAAAAACGCTAACAAAAATACTAAATAAATAGTAATTACGGCTAAACTTAAGATATATGATAACCTATACATTAAAATGGAACAAGAAAATATACTTGGTGATGGAGTGATGAAGTTCAGAAGGCCATTAGCGAAAAAAAATATCATATTCTAAAACTTGGCAATATAATAGAAATATTCAAACCTTAGAACAATATAAAAATGCTAAGAAAAATACTAAATAAATAGTAAGTAAGGCTAAACTTAAGGCATATGATAACCTATACAATAAATTGGAACAACAAAATATGAAAAGATGTCTTCAAATTATGAAAAAAAATGAGAGAGAAAGTGTAGAGATCAAGACCATATTAAATGCATTAAGATTGAGGATCAAAGGATCCTAGTGAATGATGAAGAGTTCAATATAAGGTAGAGAGTTTATTTTTAAAAATTATTAAATGACGAACGCAATGGGAACACAGCAACAGAAGGAACGTTGGTATAAATGAGGGCAAAGGTCATAGATACATTCATAGGATTAGGATATCGGAAGTGAAAGAAGCTTTGAAGCAGATCAAGATAGGAAAGGCTCGAGGACCAGATAGTATCCCAATAAGGCTTGGAAGTGTATGGAGGAGATTGGCCTTGACTAGCTGACCAAGCTATTCTACAAGGTGTTGAGAACAAAGAAAATGCCAAACAAATTGAGAAAAAGTACAATGTTACCTATTTACAAGAACAAAGGAAACATACATAATCATACGAACTATCAAGAGATCAAACTTATGAGTTATACTACAAAGCTGTGGAAGAGAGTGATTGAGCAACAAATAAGACATGAAACGAGTGTATCAGAAAGCCAATTTGGTTTTATACCAGGGAGGTCAACAATTAAGGCTATCTTCCTACTTAGGCAACTAATTGAGAAGTTTAAGGTGAAAGGAAAAGACCGTCACATCGTCCATATTGATCTAGAAAAAGCTCATGATAGACACTCGAGATTTTAATTTGGTGCATGTTGGACAATAAAAAAGAGTCTTCAGATACTATATCGACTTGATGAGAGATATGTACAACGGAGCCTAACTAGTGTGCAAATAACTAGCAAAGAGATGAGTGAGTTTTCAATGGGAATACGTCTACATTAGGGGTAAGCGTTGAGCCCATACCTCTTTCTCTTAGTTATGGACGACTTAACTAGGCACCTACAAGATGAGGTACTGTGGTGTATGTTGTTCTCGGACGGCATAGTTTTGATCAATAAGACCCAAAACGGTATCAACACAAAGTTATAATTTTTGAGGGATATTCTAGAATCTAAAGATTTTAAAATTAACCGGACTGAGATAGAATATATGGAATTCAAGTTTAGTAATAATAGGAGTGGAGACGAAGAAGTAATTAAGATTGACAGCCAAGACATACCAAAAAGAGCGCGCTATTTCAATGTCCTGGGTTAAAAATCTAGGAAAATGGAGAGATTGGGGAAGATGTCGCATATAGAATTAGAGGTGGGTGAGTGAAAAATGCAACCGGAGTTCTATGTAATCGCCGCATACCAATGAAGCTGAAGGGGAAGTTCGTGCGACCAGCTTTGCCTTATGGGGTAGAATGTAGGGCAGTCAAGACACAACATACCTATAGGATGAGTGTAGTTGAGATGAGGATGTTGAGATGGATGAGTGGCAAGATAAGAAGGGATAGAATACATTTGGGAGAACCTAAGTGTGGCTCCAACAGGCAATAAGATGAGAGAAAATAGACTTAGATGGCCTGGCCATGTGCAGCATGGATCAAGTACAGCACCTGTTAGGAGGTGCGAGTTAGTTCAAATGGAAAGCTCAAAGGAGCAAAGGACATGGCTAAAAGTGGTAAAAAAAATATGGAGGCTTATAGCGTCAGTGGGGAATGGCCCTTGATATAGCTTAACAATGGACTAGGTTTTGTGTAGCCGACCCCAAATAGTTGGAGAAAAGGCTCTGATGATGATGATGATATGGCATTAAGTATTTACAAAAAATATCATCGTACCCACTCATCCCCTCTCAACCCAACCCCTCCGCCTTCCCTCCCCTTTTCCCCTATTTTACCTGAAAACTTGACATTAACAATGCTACTTGTACCAAATTAGGACCTTATCTCGTCTTCCCTCTAACCCATTTCACTCCTCCCCTTAATCTTCTCTCTCTTCTCTCACTCATCATGGTCAAGGCGCCATCGCTTGTCTACCTTGCCCATGATGAGAGAGAGAGAGAGGAAAGAGAGGATCCACGAGAGGGGTGAAATAGGTTAGGCAAAGAATAGAAGAGAAGTCCTTACGGCATAAGTAACATCATTACTTGTCAATTTCCAAGTAAAAAGGGGGAAGTGGAGGGGATGAGGGGGTATGATAATATTTTTAGCAAAATTTAATTCTACCACACAAAAAAAAAAAATATGGAGGGGCTATAGTGAAATTGGAATAGAAATCAGGGGTCACTACAAACTTTTCCCTTAAAAAAAAGCATATGTTCCTAATGGCCGATGGTGGAATTTCACAGTAACCAGAAGGACTGCTTGTTGAGGGCTATGGTTAATCGCTATCATCAATCATTGAGAACTGACGACGTCGCTCCTATTGTGTACCAGTACCATCCAAAGGCTGTGTTGTACATACCCGTCTTCAAACTAGCAATTCAGGTATCCAATTTAAAAGAAAATCAAACAACACACAAAGGAGATACAATCTAACTTTTGTCAAATAGAAAAAAGAACAGGAAAAAGATGGTCAACTTGCCTCAGGGGCTAGATTGCCAACATATACAGTAGTATATGCAGGATTATTCTCTGGAGCATCTTCATTTGGCGCCTCTTGGCTGCCTTCTGCTAATACGACAATGAAGTTCAGTTTGTCATTGTAACATGGCCACAAAGAAAAAGTACCTCATAAAGAAATCAAATAAAATCTCACTAAATCAAATCAAATTTCATTATAGTATGTTCAGCTATGGCTGTCACACTCGTCATATGCAAAATATCCTTCATAAAACAACCAAGATGTTCAGCCTGATTTAATCAAGGGTCGACATACTCTAGCACCTGTTTATATCTTGCATAGATATAAACAGGTCAAACAACCATCCAATGTCAACAATCGATGGTTGGAAGTCTTGATTCATCCATCCAAAGTTGATATTTGACGGACTTTTGTGCAGAGAAATGACACTCCAGCTGTTTGTTGTCAACAACAGACTTTCTATAGAGAAATGACATTCCAAGCTATCTGTTGTATAGATTGGACGATATGGGAGATGTTTATAAACAAGCAAGTTCTAAACAGGTGCTATGATATACTTTCCCTTTAAATAAAATGGAAAAAGAATTCAAACCTAAAACATTTTATGCAAAACAAGCTGATCATCCACAGTATGTCAAAACACTGTTGAAGAGTTGGTTTATTTTGTGAAAGGCTATAGTGGTTTATACTTCTGAGTTATAACAGATGCATGAGAGGGGGAGGGGGAGGGGCAGGGAGAGAGAGAGAGAGAGAGAGAGAGAGAGTAGTTAGTTTGTTTACTAGTACGTACGTTACGTACTACGTTCGTCGGACGTACGGTACTTTAACGTTTACGTAGTTAGTACGTCCCGACCCTAGTAACG